TGGCAGCACTAACTCGCCAAACGTGTGACCCAGTCACCCGGACGCAGTTCCCCCAGGGCCAGCCCAGCCTTCGGGTGTTGGCCCAGCTAATCTACTCCCAAGTTCCTGGCCCATAGCAACTATAAAATAATAAGCTTTTGTTTTGTATTATTGTGGTGTGTTTTTCTTGTTTTTGTTTTTGAGAGAGGGAAAGACGGAGAGAAACACTGATGCGAGAGAAACACATTGACTGGTTGCCTCCTGCACGAGCCCTGACCAGGGCCCTGGCCAGGGAGGAGCCTGCAACCGAGGTACGTGCAGGACCGGAATCAAACTCGGGACCCTTTGGTCGCAGGCCTATGCTCTATCCACTGAGCCAAACCGGCCAGGCTGTGGTGGTGGTGTTTTTTAAGAGAAAGAAGAAGGGAGAGGGAGAGAGAGAAAGAGAAACATCAATGTGAGAGAGAAACATCCATGAGTCGGTTGCCGCCCGTATGTGTCCCTACCAGAGATTGAACCCGAAACCTGGGTACCTGCCTGAGACCCTCTGGTGCATGGGATGCTGCTCGAGCCACACAGGCCAGGGCAGAAATAATAAGCTTTCATTCTCCCTTTAAACCACTAAATTTTGGGGTAATTTGTTACATGGCAATAAAATGACTGACTCGTACAGTACACATGCATGTACACGTGTGTATACATAGTGTGTATACATACCCACCCACATACACATATATACATGCATACACACATGAAAAAGTGTGTAAAGTAATCACCAAAACATAGGCAGTGGTTGTTCAGACAGTGGGATCACAGGTGATTTTTGCTTGCTTTCTTTACACCTTTATGAATTGTCTACATGTTTTTTACAATGAATGCATATTAAGTTTTTAATCAGACAAAATGATGACTATTTTAATTGTTTTCTTGAGGGGGAGGCAGCCACTTAAACATCCCCCCGCCCCCCTTTGTGGAAAAACAAGCATCTCACCTGCCGAACGTCCGCAGTGCGCCCCCGTCAGGAGCCTGGCCGGCACTGACCTCCCAGGGGAAGTAATAGATCCCGGGTTTGGGCAGCGTCATTGGCTCCTGTGGCCAAGGCGTTGAGGTGGATTTTTGAAGATTCCTGACAGACCAAGCAGAACACAAGGCGGGGATTAACGGATGATGCCTGACAGCCACAACCAGTGGATGGTGGTTTAAAATAAAAAAATTAAAAAAAAACACATCTTTTTGATAGGTTATGCCTTCACATATTTTGAAAAACAAAACAACATACAAAAAACATACAAAAGCTCTATGTGGAGAAATCTTGTTCCTACTCCAACCCCTGTGCAACCCATTCCCTCCCTTTTCCCCAGACAAGGCGGGGGGAGGGGTCTGTCGAGGGGCAGGAGGCAATCTGAGATCTGTCCCCACCTCTCAACGCTGCCATCACAGCATGAAAACACACAGATGACACCTGAACCGACTAGACCAGGTCATTTTCCTACTTCAAGACCATGTATATTGCAAGCTACGCTATCAGTAACAACGCCATCACATTTATTTTAATTTTTAAAGATATCACACAGCAGAACTGATTCTTTGGGGGCACACACTTATAAATTTAACCTCAACTTTTCCTTTTCAAACAGAAGTTGCTATGCGTTTATTAAGACAAGCACAGCTGGCGCCATAAATCACTAGCCACATATTATCACACATTCCGTAACGTTTCCAAGAAGAACTATCAGGATGGGCTTCTCTTCGACTCAGCTGGATTTCAACTAACCTCCCCAGGAGTGTGAGGAGGGGTGCAGCCTGTAACTGAGGGCCCTGCCCTTTCATTCCCCAAGACACTTCTGGGAGAGAGAAAAATCCCTGGTAGGAACAAGAGAAATCGTCTTCTTTTTTTAAGGACTGGGAAGTTGGGAAATGCTGTAGAGCAGCGGTTCTCAACCTGTGGGTCACGACCCCTTTGGGGGTCGAACGACCCTTTCACAGGGGTCGCCTAAGACCATCGGAAAACACATATATAATTACATACTGTTTTTGTGATTCATCACTATGCTTTATGTTCAATTTGTAACAATGAAATTGGGGGTCACCACAACATGAGGAACTGTATGAAAGGGTCGCGGCATTAGGAAGGTTGAGAACCACTGCTTTAGAGGAAGGATGATGAACCAATCTATTTCTTCCATCTCTTCTGAAGCGATTGCCAAGACTTCTGGGGTCGGGCTGAAGGTCAGAGAAGGAATGCCAGTAACCAAGTTCATCAGAGCTTTGATCGGCTTTGGGTTTGTTTCTTGAAGACAAGAACCTTGATGGTGTATGCTTACCACTCCACACCTAGGTTAGATTACCAGCTTATTATGAAAGGAGATAACTAAGGAACAGGCCCATGGAAGAGTGCACAGGGCAAGGTGTGTGGGAAGGGGCGGGGAGCGTCCATGCCCTGTGAGGGCACCCCTCTCCCACATGTTCGCCAACCCAGAAGCAACTCATTAACGTTCTAGAAGTTACGATTCTTTGTTAGCGGATATTGCACCATGAATCTTTAATCTGAAAACTCCAGTTACACGATTTGAACTATGGCCTCAAAATGTTCTAGCATGTGGGGATGACAACTGTTACACCAATCTCAGCGAAATGGATTTCACAGTAACCAAATAAAAGGATTATCTTTCTCTGTCTTTAAAAGTTTTCCAATCAGAGGAAAATGTATTCAGAGAAGAATCATCCATGGATGCTAAAGGCGCTGCGTACAAGTTTGATGTGTCCAATACAGCATATGGGACACTATGAAATATTTATTGAATGGAGGCAGAAGAGAGTGAACACCAAATCCATCTCCCCCCACACTCAGCTGGGCATACAGAGAGCCCCAAGCACACCTTCCTGCCTACATTACAGTGACTTTGTGGGCTGCTGTCTTCCCTGGCATTTCTTGACTCTTCCTCAACCGCCCAGGCCAGGCAAATGGTTTGAGTATCAACAGCCAGTTTGCCCACCGAGAGTCTTTGAATTCCCTCCCCCGTTTCCACCAATTTTGGACTGTTGTGCAGTCATTCTTACCCAATCCTAATCGAGACTCTAAACTGCAAAACTGGCCTTAAACCAAGCTTCCAATTCTCAAAAAACCCTGGCCTTACCTTCTCCTCTCTGAGACACTGCCCAAGTGTTGGCCGAGTAGTGTTCTTGCCTGAGGAAGCAATAAACTCGGCTTTGTTGTGTTGGTGGAACTTCTGAGCCAGTTTTGGCAGAAGGAATACCATCTAAACACAGTAGCCAAGATAATAATTTAATGGCTGGGGA